ACCTAACCTTAAAAGGTACCAAAAGGCATTGTGTGGCCTTGAAGACTATCAGGTGTGTTAAGGGTATTTCCTTCCTCATAAAACATTTCCAAAGCAAAACTTTTAAATGTTAAAAAAAAAAAACATTAAAGTCTTCTTCTTCTCTGCTTTGTTGGCATATTACTATAGCATACTGTGGTTGGCATGCACAGATAATATAGAAGGACATTTTTTCTAAATTGCTGGCATTAGACATTAAAACATGTTGTTGTTGGAAGCATTTTGAGGTGTTCTCAAATCATCTCTGCTTTTACCAAGCTTTGGGGGGGAAGTAGGGGTGACTCTACACTATACATAAAAGCTAAATGGGAAGCAGAGTTAAAAATTCAGATATCAGAGGAAGTTTGGTATCAAATGTGTGAGACACAATCTACATCCACAACTGTACAAAGATCAGGTCACACTGGGGAAATATTAATGTGGCTGTTGAAAATGTTTTAAGATATAAAAATCCCAAATACCTGCCTTGTGATATATCTTGGTAACATTACAGGTGTTGTGATCAGTACAGATATTTAGTTGATTTAAGTTTTACTTGCAGAAAGTGAGAAAGCTATTACCAGGCACTGGCTCAATGTAAACCTCTAAAACAGGAACTCTGGCTGGAAATTGTCCAAGACATTTTAGTGATGGAAAAGATGACATAGGTTTTGATAGTTAAAGAGAAGATTTATGTGAGACATGACATTAACTAAAAGAATGCCTTATTAAAAGACACATATAAATACTGAAACAGTCCCGGACAACCAGTTATTGTTACTTTATATTTTTATTTGGTTTGTTTATTTTATTGTACTATTTTTTTTTTGCCAATGTGTTTGTACTGTTGAGTTTATATATCTGTTAAAACTTTACACAGTGTGTAGGAATTTCTCCCATCTAACGCGGAAATCGTATATTGCATTCAAACGGATAGCGCACTCTAGCGCCTCTCTGTTTCAAATGTGTATTGCAACAACGGTAGCCACTGTGTACCAAAAAGCTATGATGACATTGATGAAACCATGTTATCTGATATATGGAGTATTCATTCAGGCTTCTACACAGACACACGGGACGCGAGTTGACAAACCCCCTCCTCACCATGCTGGCTGTGTTTATAACTTATGACTGTTGGGGCAGGTGTAAATCGAAACAAACCAATCATGTCTTGTCTTTTGACAACTGACAAGTGGCTGAACCTCACACACCTCATCCCTCTCCTCGCATCATTGCGCCGCTGGCCTGTGATTGCATTGGCCTGGCCTGCCTCTTGGGAAAAAAATGACAGGCAGGCCAGCAGGCCAATCACAACGTCCCTTTTAAAACCTTTCTCTTTCAGCAGCTCTTTCCACCTGGGAAAGGCTACCCCAGTGTTGACCCTAGTTTTTTTAATTCGCCAGTCACGTTGCCTTTTTGATTCCCTTTTGCGCTTTCTTGGCGACGAGGATTCCATCTCCCGTGATGCTGCATATGCATGATCCTGCATTATGCTCAAAGAGTGGGACTTTGTTAGGATGCAGTAGTGCTGGGGTAGTAACGAAGCACCTCTTGCTCCTCTCTTTTGGCTTCTCAGTCACGTAGCGCTGGCCTCGCTCCCAACAAAAACACAGAAGGCGGGGCTATTCCCTGGTAGTGCTATATGTCCCTTGCTGGCGGATGTATTTTCAAGATGGCGAAACATTATGGAACCCCCCAAGCGACTTACCCACCCAATGTGCAAACAAATCTGAAATTCTCTTTTTATGAGAATAAGTCAGATTATTGGTGGAGTTAATAATACACCAATGATGACATATTTATGAATGCAGACATCGATTTTTGCCAATAAACAACTGAAAACGCTACACAATGTCCCTTTAAACATCAACTGGTGTTTTGCAGTATCATCCAATATCACAATCTGTCTGGCAGCAGAGTTTGTTGGCCTGTATAGGGAGTATACGGCCATGTGCTTCCTACCTGATACATGGTGTCACTACCTCCCACCTTCTAGCAAGAGGCTTCTGAAAGGGGTAACATGTAGGAAGTTCAAGGTCTTAGTATATGACCTTAGTTCCTTGAGACCTAATGAGTTAATCAGTTGAGAGAGTTTGGTGAATCTGACTTGGAACACTCGTATGAACAAAACTCACACAAAAAAGTAAGAGATGTTTAAGACAAGCATACAAAGACTTTACTGCATGAGGCCTATTGAGCCCATAACAGGCTTCCCACCAGCTAACACAGCCATTTGTATTTGTTGGAACACATGCGCTGCTGTAAGCAATTCTACAGTCAGTATGTTTACATGACATGAGAGAAAATGGATTTATTGTGTTTGTTTATCTTAAACTTAAAATACATGTAAACATGTTAGTATGACTGAAATTCTACTAAATCGAATTTCTTGAAGTCAGACCAACACACCCAGATAATGTGATTGGGAGTCAAATCACTCCTGCATGTATAGAGTCAATCAGACCCAAACTGGCCTAAGTGCTCTGTGCATGCCCACAATTTCTGCCTCGGGCTTTGACCCGGAAGCTGAATAGCATTAAATGCGTAACAGAAAAAGAAGCCAGTAACGACATAAAGAAATCTACATCCAGAGTCATGCATTTTTTGACGGACAAAGAGACACAGTTCATGCTGTGTCAGCTGAAAGAGTTAAATATTTTAAAATACATGGGTGGGATGCCAGTAGCTAACCTTAGCTAACTTGTTGGTCTATTGTTTGGTCCGTGACGTAATAGGTCAACCAGAAAAAGGTCCAATACTTACAAGCTGAAAGGGGGCATATCACCACCTATCATATTGGAGTCGGTCATACTGCAGTCAGTAAATCAGTTCCCCTTCCATGCTTGTATACTGGGACAAGGACAATCAAATCCAATTAAATGGCCTAGTCAAACTACAGCTATAGCTCCATTTAAATGTATGCTGCATGTAAATGTACTAACTCACTGTCTGCAGGGCAGTGTTGGGGGTAACGTATGACAAAAGTAATGTGTTTCAGTAATATATGATGTAGTAACAAAGTAATATAACACGTTACCAACAGGATTTCGGGTAATATTATTACATTTACTATGTCACGTAACACGTTTCCACCGGAAATAAAATGTTTATTGTTTTTATATTTCATTCACCCACACTGATCCACACCGATCGACTTTCACCAGCGCACCACCAGAGAAAATATCCCCTGACAGTTATTGTGTGTTGTCATGTCATTATACGCTATATTATAGAGGGGTCCCAGTGAATGGCACACAAGGGTCATGCTGTACTGTGCATTATCATGTTCAGTGTGTTCCCATTAATATACCTGCAATGTCTACAGCGTATCCTGTTCTGCTTTTGCATCCTAAAGCTGCCTGAAAGCAGCAGATATAAGGAACTGTCCTCTGGTTTGTTTTTTCCTTGTCCCAATGATCAGCACATCTGGGTGATGTTAGGATATGTTGGATGTGTTTCCATTCACATTTCCTACAACTGCAGAGCAACGCCAGCATACTGTCCTATTCTTATGCATAACTCTCTCTCCCATGCTGTTCTAGGTGACTGGTACACCAGGAATTGACAGGTGTGTCTTTCAGCTCTGGTGTATTAATTTTTTGCGCTCGCCATAGTGACTTAATCACACGTCATTTTGTTTGTTGTACATTTTAATTGTTTATATAATCACACTATCATTAATATAAGCAGGGATGTTAATACAAAGTGGTAACCACTTGATGTGAATACACGAATGGGTCAGACCTGTGCAGCACTGGATTTGAAATGAATTGTAATAAACTGGAGCTTCTGTGTTTTGATTACCTGCTGTGAAACAACATGACCCTCATCCATCAAAGTAAAGCAAAAGTCGTGTAATAGGTAACTTATTACTCTACAAAGAGAGTATTATTGTAAAGTAACGTAATTACTTTCAAATGAAGGTAACTTGTGATATGTAATATATTAAATTTTGAGAGTAACTTGCCCAACACTGTTGCAGTGGCAGTTAAAAACTTTGCCTCTGCACCACCAGTGTGCCCAAATGTTTCTGTCCTTTTGTTAGCAGGTAACTTGTTATCAAGCATTTACCCACTGTGCATTTACAGCACTTAGTCAGAGGCATCATCTGTCCATGCTGCTGATTAAGAAAGCAGTATATACCTTCACTTAAACATGGGCTGGAAACTAACCACCCTTAGATAAGCTAATCCAGGTACAGTGTAATAAAGCACACAGTAATGTGCCTAAAACAGACACGTCATAGTGGCAGAGACGTTGGCAGACAGACAATATTAGTGGGTTGTTTTTCCCTGCGGCGAAGGGATGGAGGGGGCATCAATTAGCCTCCAGCAGTCTCTGACCTTGAAATGGAGCACAGGCAGAAAACAGGAAGTCTCCCTGTACCACAGCCTGGAGTTCCAGTTTGTGTCCCATATCATTTATTGATTTTCACTTTTTCACATGACTGTAAATGTCAACACATTTTTGGGATCTCCCATATTGTATACTGCCTACCAGCCGTAGACTGTGACATTCAAAATAACACCAACATCCAATTATTGTAGTGTGTCTTTATCATTGTGGTTTAATTTCAGGGATCATTAATACTTTACGAGGAAGGAATGAAGGTTAGAAATTATACATTCACTCAGTGTAGGGGTAGAGTTGGTTTAAATAGAGCTGTTGTTTCCTGCATACCTATCTGTGCAGCAGTATTTCAGTGGCTTAGTCATGGGACTCTTTACTACACTCTGCAAGTCCCAACGTGTCTGCTTTCATGAAAAGTCCTGACACTTCCTGGTATAGCTGACAAAACACACCATTTACAAAATCAGTGTTTAAGTGGAGGGAAAAAGCATCTGAATCCTTTATAAAAACATTGAACTTGATAAAAATCACAGTCCAACGTTAGACATAATTAAGTTTTGGAGCAAAGGGACATCCTGATTGACAAGAATTCCCAATCCCAGTGCTTTCTCTGACCTGTTTTAGATACTTACAGATTGTTGGGATGATGACGTTGTTTAATTCCTGTGTTGTCTGAGGGTGGAGAGTCTGCTTTGGGACGGTAGGACGTTCAGCGTTGTATTTCAGTGTAACAGAGGGATCAGACAGAGTCACTCGTGGGGACTGAGGCATGTATGGCCCTCGTGTTGATTTCTCTTCCATTAAAACCTCAGGTCGTCCTGGGGTAATGGCGGTGGTCAAGGAGACAAAAGACGTAGATGTATGAGGAATCGACATAGTTAGTCCCAGCGTGGGGGTAACTGATATGATAATCGGGTCCTGTCCAATGGGTTTAGGATCTAAGTGTGTGGGTGGTTCATATTCAAAGATTTTATCCACAAAAACCCATTTGAGGCCAGCTGTGCAGAGGGCTAAGCTAAGCAGACAGGCCAGGATGGGAAGAATGCAGATTTTCTCAGAGTGCAGGCAATTGTTAATCCGTTCCATCTCTATGCACACACAGCAGGTCCCTGGCAAGGCCACAATTCCCAAAGCCCCCATATGCTGCCCATCACCACCTTCCTCTGCGCCATCCTCCCCGCTCTCACCAGCTGCCTCTGTCTCCTCTGGTTTCTCCTCTGGGACTTGTCCAGTATCAACAGTAGAGCTGGTAGGGGAGGCCGATCCAGGAGGGGGAGCTGGCCCTGCAGAGAAGTCCTCCATTCCCTCAGTCATCCTGTTTAACTGCTGGATGAGGGGTCTCTGAACACCTCAACTATTAACTTAGAGCATCACACGGTGGCTGTCTGCCACCAGTCTCCTCGAGTATGTTTTCCATCATGAGGCTGCAGAGTCAGAGCTGGGATTTCAGAGAGGTACAAAAGCTATTCAGAGTGAGTCCAACCTTGTTAAGAGTCTGGGAGGTATGTAGACAGCCTTCTGCGCATGAGGGAGAGGAGTTCCTTACTCATGCTTTCTCACAGGAAACGCATCAGTCTATAAATAGAATCATTAAATTTGCTGCAGGCAAAAACAAAAGAAGATTTCCAGAGGATTCGATTCCTTAAATGTTCTGCATAGTCTGCTAGGGAGCAGTGGTGTAACAGTCTCACTCACTCACCTGAGCACTAGGGCAGAAGAGGCAGTGTCGAAGTGATGGGCCAGCTGCAGTAGCTGTATTGCAGAGGACAGGACGGCCAGGCACTGCAGTGGCAGGAGGGACATGCTGTCTTGTCTGTGGAGCTCCAAGTAGCTGAAAGGCTGAATCATCAGGGAGCGGCAGGTGCCCTTCCTCTCAGCACAGCCACAGAAACAGATGAGTAAGGGGAAAGAGAGAGAAAGAGAATCATAGAGAGAGGGAGGGGGAGGGAGGGCTGCAGTAGCACAGAAGGGCAGAGAAGACGGGATACTCCCCTTTTTCTTCCCTCACCCCTCCTCTCTCAGTCTTTCCTCCAAGTGGTGAGCAGGGCAGCCTCTGGCCTCCTCCCTCTCTGCCTCTCTTCCTGTCTGGTGGTGTGTCCGTGCTCTTTCTATACGCTGCTCCCAATCCAAGCTCAAAGCATCCAGCTAAGCAAGTTCCTACTTGATCCAATTAGAGTGCATGTCAGCGAATCACAGACAAGCAAACTGTTGTAGCCACCCCCTCCAGCACCACTCCCCATTGATTATGCTGATACCAAAGGGTGTGTTTTTTGTCAAGGGGAAGGAGCCAGGGAAGCAGACATATGATCCACCCCAAGAGGATGCAGCCATTGTGTTCTACTCTTCTCAAGTATCTGCATTCATTAGTGTAATAGCAGAAACAGAGGATAATGACAATGAATAAGGCAATGGCATTGACATTACACATGCACATTTATATACATAAATATATATTCAACTTAAACATTACATAAATGTTACATTAGAATCTTCATGATGACTTATCATCATTAATAATAGACCTTTTCCACCTCACAAGACATTTTAACATGTCACAGTAGAAAAAAGTATATAGGTATACATAATAAAATGAATGATGGCTAATTTCAGTTTCAGGCTCCTGGTATAGTTACTGCTGGTTTACTGTCACAATGTCATGGCTTACTGAGAGTCTTGACTAGAACTGAGCAAACATTAATATTATCATAAGTACCTGTGCTTGTGCTACTGTGACAAGTAAAAACATAATTGCGATAAAAATGCCCTATGGTAATTAAGATGGTTGCTACTGAACTCTTGTGCAAAGATGAAAAAAAAATAGAAAAAGTGTTAAATGTGGATTATCACTGCTAGGCAAACCAAGTATAAGGGAGTGTTTCTAATTTTTAAATTAATTTATTTTAAAAATATTCTGAATATGAAGAAATGACTAAAAGGAGCAAAGAACAGATCTGACCCAGCTGGCCTAAAATATAAACACAGAAAATGTTACAGCCTTTATTATGGTATCCAATTTGTCAAATATGATACATAGTAAACTGGGGATATTGATCACAAAACTGACACTTCCTTTAATAGCATGCAAGTATAACAGAAAGCCCCCAGACTACCAATAAAACTATTAAGCCCCCAACCCCCCACCATGTCGGCTAATAAGCTGACAGGACAATCCATGGTGTTGTTGAGGAGATGGGGCTTAAACAAGATGAAGACAGTGGCAAAGGTCAGGTCCCCGCCACACTGAACATTAACACTGCTCTGACCCTTTCCAATCCACGGCAGAATTAATACCAGTAATGGTATCTCTGGAAGAGCACTTCCTGTCAGGCCCCTGAATTAGGGACCTGCATATTGATTAACCTCTCAGTATTTTCAGCCTTTATTGGGGCCAAAAAGTGACATGAGAAATAGACAAATTAGTGTGATAGATTAAAAAAAGAAATAAATAAAAAGAAAATTTGCTAAAAAAAAAAAAAAAAACTTACAACAAACCTTAAAGTATTTATTTATAGATTCAATTAAAGATTTATTACAGTCACTGAGAGCCAGAAGAGACCATGATGACATGATTTGAGACCTTATTACCATACGTGAGATGTGAAAAAAAGCACTACAATTGATTTCTGGTGTTAAACTTTTCAGTCTCTAGGGCTAATGGTAACGTTGCTGAGCACCACTGTGCACACAGGGATCTTTGTCTTCTGTTTGTATCATATTCATGTAAGGTTCCACACTGTAATTATTTTTTATGAGACAGTAAGTTCAAAGTTTTGGTTAATGCCATATGTCAACCATTTTTCTCTTAACATGAGAAATTTACTCCTACTTACTCCTAATATCCTGAATATCACAGATTAACCTGGTCTGGAACATAAATGACAAATTGATCAAATACAATAAAAAATCAGCTCATTATCCCAGGGATATCCCCTCGGGTATTAATAAAGTATATAAAAATTAAAATTAAAATTAAAAAAATGACAGTGGGAGATGTCCCAATTAAATATCTTTTGAGTTAATCTCTGGTTGGACATATTCACAAGTCTATTCCAGAGCTAAAGTATTTGAGTTTTTGATGTTTGGAGGTTTCTATCCCATATCTCAAAGCAATAAATGTGGAAATAAATAAACATGAAAATTGGTGACAAAAAAGATCTCTTTGAAAACAACAAATGTGAAAATATACACATTTGCAAATACATGTGGAAATAAATGTATTAATACGGAGTCTACTTCTGGAAATATATATCTGGATAAATACAGAAAAATATACAGTAGCATTATTTAATTTTTGCCCTTTGATCTTTTCTTTGGCAAAAAGTTCTATTATTTTTCATTAACCATTTACTTTATTTATTTCCTACTGTGTCTTAATGGTTTCTACACACTCAAGCAGAGCGACATCAGAGTCATGGTGAAAAATTATTAAAATGGACCTGCATTTGTACAGCGCCTTTCTAGTCATCTGACCACTCAAAGCACTTTTTTATTTCTTTTTTTATTTTTTAAAGATTTTTTTGGGGCATTTTTTAGCCTTTAATGGATAGGACAGACAAGTGTGAAAGGGGGAGAGAGAGAGGGAGTGACATGCAGCAAAGGGCCACAGGCTGGAGTTGAGAATAAAAGTCCGCACACCAGAAGCTGCTCCTTGAACAATTTATTCATGTGTTATGTTTCGGGCCCCTGCCCTTCATCAGACATGAAGTGAATGTGAATACACCTCCATATATAGGCTACACACACAACCCCTTAGGGTCACCTGACACAATCAGGTGATAAACCACAGGTGTGAGAACAATAATAATAATTATCAAACAGAAAAGAAAAATATATATTTCTGATTGATGAGAAACAATCTTTAAATGCAGTACAATGCAACAATGCTAGAATACCACTTTACAAAGATTCTATAAGAAAATCTTTAAGAAAATCTTTAAGAATTTGCGCAGGTATAGGGCCTGCAGTGTCATGATCCTCATCATGGCAGCCCCTCCCTCTCCCTTATGTGTGTGTGTGTGTGTGTGTGTGTGTGTGTGTGTGTCATTCCCTGTCTGTATTACTCCTCCTGTGTTTCTCCCCGTCTGTTCTGTGTGTGTGTATGTGGGCGTGGTTTCCTTCCACAGGCAGCGCCAGGTGAATCCACTCCAGCAATCAACCTCTCCATAAAGCCTCTGGATTCCTCCCTACTCGTTGCCAGATCGTTTCATCAGTCTGCGTGGTAGTTTGTATCCTGGCTCCTCTGTGTTTTTGCCCTCGTGCCTTATTAGCTTGTGTAGCTAATGTCTCTGTGTTTCTTCCGCCTCAACTCAGATTGCTGTGCTTGCCTCGTGATCTCGTGTGTGCTTCTTCACTGCCTGCCTGTGGACCTTCCTGCCTTCTTCTGCTCTCCTGTGTTTCCCCTCGGAGTGAGTACGCTCGAGAAGACGGAACCTACTGCGCCGTGCCGCAGCACTGCCGCCATTACCACGTGGCGGACACCACACCACAGACACAGACATGTCGGGATCCTGGGACCACGCTCCACCCCTCCCCCTTGCACTTACCAGCACGTTTGAACATTAAAGACTTGTTATTCACTGTGTACCTGTTTCCTGAGTCGTGCTTTTGGGTCCAGGCTTTGAACTAAACCATAACATGCAGTGCAAATATAAATATAAACAAATCCCACACACTTTAAATATCACATAAAGAGAACATCAGGTGAAGACCATCATAAATTTATGCGATATTAAAAGGGAAAAAAATGTTCTGTAGAGGCGTCTCTAACAACTATCAAACAGTGATATGGCAAGTGCAGACAATATGAGAAACATGGCTCACACAGTAGTAGCAGAAAACAATCAAATCCAACATCATACCAGCTACTGAAGGAACAATGTAAACACAAATGACAAGTTCCTAGACCCATAGAAATGAAATGAAACGCACACATCATAAAAAAGGCCTCAAGTCAAAATCAACATTAAGCCCTTTGGGAGCCAAAGTGTCCAGGGTATATATCCAAAAAGCTTCTTTTTTAAGTACGAAAGAGTTATTGTCACCACCATGTGAGGGCTGTTTAACTAGTTCTATAACTATGTATCTGAGAGAGGAGACATTATGTGAGGCTTGAGTGAAGTGCACTGCCACTGGACTTCTGGTGTCGTGGTTTCTAATGTTAGATCTATGTTCTGAGATTCTAGTTTTTAGTGGTCTGGTGGTTTTACCAACATACGCAAGGCCGCACGGATACTTAAGCAAATAAATAACATTTTTGGTATTGCAGGAAATAACACCCTTGATGTTAAAAGACTTGCCATTCTGTGGATGATTGAAAGTAGAGGTTTTGTGTGTGAAATTACACTGGGTACAGTTGCCACATCTGTAATTCCCGGAGGGGACAGACTGTAAGAAGTGTGGTGGAGTCACAGGCGGCTGATATGCTCTCACTAACATGTTTCTAAGGTTTGGAGGTCTCTTGAACACAACTTGAGGAGGTGTGGGGAAACAGGCTGGAGTTGAACCCGGGCCGCTGCGGCAACAGCCTTGTACATGGGGCGCCTGCTCTACCACCAAGCCACCAACGCCCCAACTCAAAGCGCTTTTTACACTACGAGTCACATTCACTCATTCACACACACATTCATACACTGGTGGCTGACGCTACCATTAAGGTGCCACCTGCTAGTCAGTTTTTAACAAACTCACACACGGATGGAAGCATCATCGGGAGCAATTTGGTGTTCAAATTCTTGCTCAAGGGTACTTCAACATGCAAACTGGAGGAGCCAGGGATCTAACCACTGATCTTACAATTGGTGGACGACACGCCCTACCGCTGAGCCACAGCCACCCCAATAATAATAATAATAATGATAATTAAAGCTGCAAGCAGCGATGAACGGGCCCTCGCACCTTCACGCAACTTGGGGGGGGGGCTGGCAGGACGCCTTCTGACGCGTCAGTTCATTTCTGTCAAAGTTAGATATCGCATGCAGGAGTGACTCTGCATATCCTTGATACAGTGCTGGAATAACATATTTCACATTTTGTATCACTTCCTCTTTCCACTAGGGGGAGTTGGAGAGTGCAGTAATTATACATCATGTTTTTGTACATCA